CGTTGATGAATGGGGACCCGTGAAAGAGCATACGTTCATTGGGCGCGCCAGCCTCTTCGCTCACTTCTTTCCTTCTGTGCTGGTAGCGTTCCCAGAGGCGGCCGTTCACTATCTTTTGTATCTGAAAATAAATGCCACAATGATGTTAAGGTTATAGCCTATATACGTCCCACTGCTCGGCACAGGCCTCCTCTCATTTCTGAGAGGTGTTTGAGGTAGGGAAGCGTTCGTCGCGCTGACCCTATGCGTGTGGGCGAACTTCATATGTCTTTGAAATATTTTTATTCTTTATTTCTCAGACATGCATGTTTCCTCATGATGTTTTCCTTCTTCGCCGAGCACGTGATAAGTTAGCACTTAAAATTACAATTAACAATTTTATTGGTGCCGGCAGGGATCGAACCCGAGTTGCTCAATGTTGCACAAAACTGATGACGATTGAATTCTGATGTTTACGTGAACACCGTGTATTGACACGGTGTTCACGCGGTGTAAGAATATCCACTATCTCATATCATCCCGTGATTTACATCAGGAGATGTGCAGCAGCGTCTTCCTAATAACGACTAATAGTATAAAACTACGGTTGCCAAACCGCTTGCCAAGGGAGGCCACAATGACAAATACCCCCCTATGAGGCAATCTGTGGGGGAGGTCTATGTTCAGCAGCGGACTTTAATAGGCTTTAACGGTAACGCCACTAAACATTTAAATGAAACTAGAAAAGTACTTACTAAGCATAGACGCTCCGGGAAGTCTGCAGTCTGTGAACACGTCCTGTACGTGTATCGCCCCCGTCACTACACCAGATTCGATAGACCACAAATCTTCGCTAAAGACTCTATATTCCATACCACTTAATTTTATAGTTTACTATTGGCTATGACGATTGCAGAAAGTGGCTAACCCTGCTAATAATAAATATCAAATTTGTACTGTGAACGAGTAGACGGTTTAAGAACAATCAATGGACTAGTCGAATCCGTAAACGGCTAAAGGGAAACTTCATAACATTTATTTAGACATTTATTTACCGACGCGAGAAAGTGGTCGAATAATGTTAGTTCATAATATTATGTTACTTGAAATGACATAAGTGCGCAAACAAATTAGAACTCTAAATGTAGACGGCGTAAGAGTATTAATAGCAGTTTGTTATTGCGTTAGGCGAAGAAAAGGATGCCGTCATGGTATCGCCGCGTGGGCAAAAGAGAAGGGCGACTAACAGCTTAATACATCATACCGATACACTAGTATACGGCCTACGTATGTCAACAATGTCTAGCCATAGACAACGTCACGGAGTTTAAATTTAAACGTCTGCAAAACCAAGTTGACGCGTAAACTAGTTGACAAATTTAACTAGTTGATCGACTAGTCGATGAACGAAACTAGACCGTCCATTTTCGTTCATCGACTATGTGCCAGACGGGTGAAACTCTCCAGAGTAAATGTTGACAGAGATACTCCGCGAGTCGCTTACGTCCTACACCAATAGGTTCCGGAGGATACTTCTACTGCCGTCTTTGTGGGTTCTGTTAATTAACAATGATTTATATAATATATTGTATTTTAATGGCAACACTGCGTCGGTTGTCAACACTGTATCTGTTATGAAGGAAGGTTAAAATATGATGTTATAGGCTATCCATGTTTTTGTTTTGAGGTTAATAAAAAGTACGTTTCAGATTTATAGTGGATTAATAAGTGTTAAAGGACAGAAAATGGCTTAGCTTTCCATTGACGTCAGTGGAATTTGGTGTTGATACGTATTTTTACAGAAAGATTACACTATTATAAGCACACACACAAAGTCTCAATATACGGAAACGCGTAATTTTTGAGAAAAGAATAATTGAAAATCAATTATTCTTGCAATGTTTATGTCTAATCTGCTAATAAACTGGCGCTATTTTGTAATGTCATTGTCGACGTCAATAGGGATGTCGATTCTTTCCGAAAAAGGTCGATTTTTAAATCGATTCAAATCGTAAGCTGATGTATCGGTTCACAAAAAATCGATTTCTAAAATATCAATATTTTTTTAATGTTTCTATTTATAATGTAAATATAAACCCATTTTATGAAAAACAAGAAAGATACCATGATAAATGATCTCTTATTGAAATTTGTTTTATTTAACAGTACCTATTAGGGCAGATAACAAATAAAATAGGTTAGGTTCAACTTATGTCAAAGAACCGAATTGATTGACCCCGACTCCACCTGGTACGAGTCTGTCCTACCCCTAGAGTGGTTTTATAGAGCCGGAGGCGCGTAGGGGGAGCAGCCTCCGCCTGCTGTAACAAATCGTAGGCATCGGACGAGCCGGAGCGGCTGAGGCTGGTCGCCGAAGGCGACCAACAAGCCGAAGCTGCGGAGGCGAGGAGGGATGCCTGCGATTTGTTACGCTAAGGCGTAGAGGTTGCTCTTCCCGCAGCGCCGGAGACGTAGCAGTCTCAAAATAGATACAGAAATCCTTATGAATCAGTCCCCTTATTTTTTTATGATGAAGGGGATTTTTTTCTCATAAAATGGATTTATATTTACATTATAAATGCAAACATGAAAAAGATATCGATATTTTAGAAATCGATTTTTTGGGAATCGATACATCAGCTTACAATTCGAATCTATTTAAAAATCGATCTTTTTCGGAAAGAATCGACATCCCTATTGACGTCGATAATGACATTACAAAATGGCGCAAGTTTATTAGCAGATTAGACATAAACATTGCAAGAATAATTGATTTTCAATTATTCTTTTATCAAAAATTACGCGTTTCCGTATATTGAGACTTTGTGTGTGTGCTTATAATAGTGTAATCTTTCTGTAAAAATACGTATCAACACCAAACTCCACTGACGTCAATGGAAAGTCGTACCCAGAAAATGTCAAAAGAAAAATATGAAATTGTCCCTTTCGCAGGGGACAATTACAACGCATGGGAGTTTCGATTAAAAAGTATCCTGCGGGATAATGGAGCAATAGAGGCGATCGAAAAGGAGGATTTCAGTAAATCTACGGATAACAAGCAATTGCAATTGGAAGCTAAGGCCCAGGCTACCATAATAGCGGCAACCGCCGACTGTCACCTCGAATACTTGAAGGACAGATCTGCTTATCAAATGATTAAAAGCATGGAACACAGCTTTAAGAAGAAAGGTACACGATCTAAATTATTTATAAGAAGAGAGTTGTCCGATATGAAATTCGACGAACGGAAACCTTTAATGGAACATTTTATTGACATGGAAAAGCTATTTGCACAACTCGGGGATGCTGGCAGTGAGCTCTCGGAGGAAGAAAAGGTTAAACTATTTACTCCTATCGATGCCGAAATCTTATGAAGGCAATATCACGGCTTTGGAAACTGTGGAGGAATTGAAAATGAACTTCGTGAAAAACAGACTGCTTTGGGAAGAAGAAAAACGGAACAGAGGAGCGACCAAATCCCTTGATTCTTCAATCTTCTTGTGTTATGGATGTGGACGCCCCGGACACATAAAATCCCAGTGTAGGAGCACTCAGCAGGCACGACACAGGACTGACGACTGGAGACTTCACGGCCGTGGACGTAGCGACTGGAAGTACAACGGAAGCCGAGACGACAGTAAGGCAACTCGTCATCAGACCCAGGGGAGAGGTAGAGGAAAGTCATTTCTTACAGGCACTGAAAATACTGAAGGTAACAAATTTGTAAGTTTTATGTCCTTTAGCCCTGACACCGAACAGCAGAATAAAAATAGTTTTAAATGGGTTGTTGACTCAGGTAGTTCATTTCATCTTGTAAATGAAATTAGTTTATTCTTTAATTATTGTAAACTGGATAAGCCAATTAAAATTTCAGCTGCCAAAAATGGCGTTGATTTAGAGGCTGTTGGTGTAGAAACAATAAAATGTTATTTAAGTGATTTTAAAGTTGATATTATATTAAATGATGTGTATTATGTACCACAATTAAGAAAAAATTTATTATCTGTTTCCAAAATGGAAAAGCATGGTTTAAAGATCATCTTCAATAAAGGGGAAGTTAAAGTTTTCTCACAAACCAATGAATTGCTTATGGTTGGGCAAAGACTAGGGTCCCTTTATTTTGTAGAATTTAAAGTAATATTTAATGATTGTTATTATGGTGAAAAATCAGACACCAATGATAATTCAGTAGAAATTTGGCACAAACGATTTTCTCATTTAAGCTATTTTATTTATTTATTTATTCTTTTTTACATCTACCTTATAATAAGGGATATAAAGGGCGGACTTAATGCCTTGGGGCATTCTCTACCAGTCAACCCTGGATGATTTGAGAAGCTGTGGTAGGTGCAACACCACTCATTAATTAATAAATAAGTAAAAACATTATATCTTATAACAAAAAGCAAATAAATAAAATATTTTTAAACTATACAAACTTAATATTATCTACTTAGTAATAAACAGAAAAAAATTAATAGTAAATATATAAACGGATAAAATATACTTATATATACAAAATATAAACGGATATAATATACTTATGTATATTAACAAAATATATAAACGGATATAATATACATATATATACAAAATCTCTAAATAAATATAAAATAATATAACACAAAAATAAAATAACATGATGCATATTAAAATACATATTATACAAAATATCAATTACAAAGCGAAAAAGTGAGAAAAACAAAAATCGGATAAATCAGGTGGTATTATTCTTGTTAAAGAATTCTCGAACAAGTCTTTTAAAATATTGTTTGTTACTGGTTTTTTTTATATGAACAGGCAAGGCATTCCAGAGCAGTATGGATTGCACAGTAAAAGAGGAATTAAAGAAACCACTCTTATGTGGTGGAATACGAATTTTAAGACTATTTTGGAAACGGGGAACTCTATCATGAGTAGAATATTGGTACTGAAAGTTATCCTTAAGATAAGAAAGTTATCCTTAAGAAGTTATCCTTAAGATAAGCTATAGTAGTTTGAAAACTTTAGTAAATAAAAATATGGTTGATGGTTTAACTGATTTGAAAGAAAAAAATGTAGAAAATAGGCATTGTGAACCATGCATACTTGCTAAGATTACACGCCTTCCTTTTAATGGGAAAATGTATAAGGCTAGGAAACCCTTAGAACTAGTACATACCAATGTTTGTTCTGTTAGCCCTTCTACGTGGGACGGGTATAAACACTTTGTTACTTTCATAGACGATTTTACCCACTTCACCGCAGTTTACTTATTAAGAGACAAGTCTGAGGTTTTTGAATATTTTAAGACTTATTATAATTATGCTAGTAATCATATTTCTAGAAATTTTAAATCCTTTTGTGATGAAAAAGGCATAGTATTGCAGTATACTGCTGCATATAATCCTGAAATGAACGGAGTAGCTGAAAGAATGAATCGTACTCTGACTGAAAAGGCGCGTGCATTATTGTTAGATTCACAGCTTCCTAAAGAGCTTTGGGGCGAGGCCCTGCGATATACGGTATATGTCACTAATCGTAGTCCCACTGCTTCCCTTAATGTTACACCATTTGAAATGTGGGAGGAAAGACGTCCTAATGTGTCTAATTTTAGAATATTTGGGTCATCTGCATATGCCCATATTCCCCAAAAACTCCGAATGAAGTTGGACCCTCGTGGTGTGAAATTGAAAATGGTTGGGTATGCTCCGGGGGGATACAGATTATGGGATGCTAATGAAAGGAAGATACGCATAGAACGAAACGTATTGTTTAGGGAAGAAACTTGTTCAGAGTCCCCTGAAACGATTAGTATTGACGTGGAGTCTATCTCGGATGGGAAGGAGAAGGATGATGTTAGTAGTCCTGAGAAAATTTTAACTTCTGATAATAATTTAGAGTCATTACAACCTGAGGGAAGGGATACAGATAATGTTAATTCTAGGGAGAAAAGAAAGAAAACTAAACCAAAATATTTACAAGATTTTGTCACTGATGATTCAGATTTAGGTGATATATTAATGGCATCATTTTTATCTTGTTCTAATGGTAATGTCCCAGAAAAGTATAATGATATAGATTCTTATCACGATAAAGATAGGTGGTATGAAGCGGTAAATGAAGAAATTAAATCTTTAGAGGATAACAAGACTTGGGAAGTTGTAGAAAGATCAAACGATGCTAAGTTAATTGATTGTAGATGGATTTTTACAAAAAAGGCGGGTAATGTATATAAAGCTAGATTAGTCGCAAGGGGGTTTCAACAGGAAGATAGTTTTACCCAAATCTATTCCCCCGTTTTGAAATTAGAAACTCTCCGAGTTCTTTTATCGTTAGCTGTTCAAAGGAACTATTTAATTCATCAAATGGATGTTAAAGGTGCTTTCCTTCATGGTGAAATTGATGATGTTGTATACTTAAAGCCCTGGTGTAAATATAAATACAAATTATGTCTTGAAATTGAAAAAAATCACTTTAGGGTCTTAAAAAATCTTTAAAAAATTGGTACAATAAATTTTATGATTTTATGAAAAGTAAAGGGTTTCAAAGAGCAGAAAGTGATTATTGTTTATATTTTAAGGATGGTATTTACATTTTGTTGTATGTGGATGATTTATTAATTTTAGGTGAGGACAATTCAAGGTTAAATAATGTTAAAGAAATTTTAAGCACAGAATTTAAAATGAAAGATCTAGGATCTAAAAATTTAAAATATCTGGGTATTAATATTATTCAAGATAGTGACTGTTTGTATATTAACCAGAAAGAGTATTTAAAATCTATATTGACAAAGTTTGGTATATCTGAAGCAAATGCTAGTGAATCACCCATGGAAGTTAATGTTAATCTTGATGATTGTACGGTTGATTACTCTTTAGAGCATAAATGCAGAGCTTGTATAGGTTCTTTAATGTATGCTGTAGTAGGTTCAAAACCTGATTTGTTTGCTGCTGTTTCATATTTAGCAAGATATCAATCTAGACCATTAGAAAGGTTATGGCAATGCTTGAAAAGGATTTTAAGATACATTAAGGGTACCATTAATTATAATTTAAAATATAATAAAAATTGTAATTCCGAACCACTAGTTAGATATGCTGATGCTAGTTTTGCTGTAGATAAAGATAGGAAATCTATAACTAGTTATGTATTTAAAATATTTGATAACAGTGTTATTTGGCGTTGCAAAAAGCAGAGCACTGTAGCTTTAAGCGTCGTCAGCTGTTGCGCGCGATTGCAGGTGGACGGCTGTGCCTATATTTTAGCAAAAATGGCTTCGGATATTGTAAAATGTGCAAATTGTAATATAGTGATTAACGAACTACTAGCATTTATTCAAAACAAGGCGGATGTAATGGACGAGGTTTCTCTTATAAGATTATGTTGTGATAGCTTTTCTGATAGTGAAATAATGTCTGCAAAGAAGCTGTTCTTTAATTCTGTCCCGGAATCGAAGCGCAAAACTCGCAAGAATAAAGGTAAAAATGCTCGAGACATTGATGATATTATATGTCTTTTTAAAACTACCGATCCTGAATTAGTACCTATCTTTGTTGCTCGTGATCTTCAAAAATTACCACCTATCACGTTTGACCACATAGATGTAACGCAGCTGTTAAAAGATATTATTATGCTAAAGTCCGATGTACACGCATTAAAAACTGATAGCGCTACCCTAAGTCAGATGTTGGACCTAAAAACGGAGATAGATAATCTGAAACATGCTTCAGTCATTTGCAATAAGTTTGACTTTATCAATAGAAAAAGAGGCAATTTAACAGCAGATTTAGAAAACTACGATAGTGGGCCAATGGCATTGCAAAATTATTCCCAGGAGATCCCAGGTAAAGATAAGTCACCTACATCTTTAATATCACAAAAGAACTATAACAAATTTTCTCCTGCATATGTGGGTATTAAAAAAAATGTTTTATCAACGCCGCAGAGAAATAACAACAGCGCGGAGCAATCAGCTGGTATTACGCATACAACAAGTGTTAAAGAATTGTGTAGTGCTATCTCGCCTACGCAGGTAAAGGAAGCTAATGAATTAGATCGTGTTATTGATAAAACGAATAAACGGCGTATGTCCACTACTATTTGTTCAAATACTACGAACTCGAATGTAATCAAAGAGGTTTCATCAGATTGTCATTCGAATGAGCGAAAAACGTTAAATAGTATGGAAGTGGAACGTAAACAAATAGTAGGGGAAAAGTGGACATTGGTTACTAATACGAAACGAAAAAATTCAGCGTCCGGTAAAAGGATGGGAAAAGCCGATGTTGGACCTGATGGAAAATTTAAGGCAGCAATAATCAAAATTCCTTTGTTTATTTCCAATGTGTCAAAGGACACAAAGGAAAGTGATATTATTGCATATATTAAAGATAAAACACACACATCTTTATTTAAAATTAATAGAAAAATTGAAAAGAAGTATAATTCTTTCAAGCTCTATGTGTCCAAGTCAAAGCTGGATGTTTTTCTTGACGATAAGTTATGGCCCGATGGCATAACCTTTAGGCGTTTTACAAATGATAATTTTAAGTTAAAAAATAGCGTTAATAGCATAATGAAGCAAACTATGACATAAGAATGGATAAAGAAATTTATAAAACAACTAAATTAGCCTGTTTTAATTGCAAATCTGTGAAACGCTCAATTGATGCAGTTAAGTTTCTGTGTCAAAAAGTTGATATAGTTGCTCTCCAGGAAACGTGGTTGCTTCCCTTTGATATCCCATACCTTGCCAAGATACATCAAGATTTTGAATACACAGGAAAATCAGCTGTGAATATATCAGAGGGCATACTCAAAGGACGACTGTATGGTGGTGTGGCGATTTTGTGGCGCAAAGGAACTTTTGAGTCAGTCACAGTAATAAACTGTGCTAATGTGCGGCTAGCAGCAATAAAAGTATCCCTAGGTGACAGATACTTTTTAGTGTTTTGTGTATATATGCCGACAGACGTGAGTGATAACCTAACAGAATTCACTGACTGTCTTAGTGAGGTAAGCGCGATAGTCGAAAGTTGTGACGTGGAGGCAGTGTACGTCCTTGGTGATTTTAATGCTCATCCTGGTGAGTCTTTTGCACTTGAACTTTTAAAATTCTGTTCTGAACAAAATTGGATTTGTGCAGACATTGAAAAGTTAGGTGTAGAATCTGATAACTATACATTTGTCAGTGATGCACATGGCTGTAGACGATGGCTTGACCATTGCATTGTCACACAAGCTGCTTGGCACACTATAACTAACATAAGAATATTTTATGATGTATTCTGGTCTGATCATTGCCCCTTTGTTGTTGAGTGCAGGTTAGACACTATTAAAACGAAATTAGAAGTTGCGACAAAATCATGTAACAAAGTAATATGGGGCGAAAGGGTCAGTGATCGGATTGAAGTATATTATGATATGTGTAATAGCAAATTAATATCGCTTAAGGTACCTGAGGAACTTAGCATATGTTATAATTCACACTGTAACAATACTCATCATAGGTTAATGCTTGATGAAATGTACAACAATATTGTTACTATTTTATCTGAGGCCGCTATACAGAGTTATGATGATAATAGAAGTTATAAGCATAGTGGTCGTATTGTAGGTTGGAACAGACATGTGAGGGAAGCACATGCGATGGCTAGGTTTAAATATCGCTTATGGTTGTGGCATAACAAACCAACTAGTGGGCCTATATATGACGATATGTGCATAAAACGTAAAATATTTAAGAGCAAACTAAAATGGTGTCAAAACCATCAAGAGCAAATTCAACTCGATATCATAGCATCACATCGTAAAGCAAATAATTTCAAAAAATTCTGGAAGGCCACCAACAAACTTGATATTAAGCCTACCCTGCCTGTGTGCGTTGGAGGTGTAAACGAACCTATTAGCATAGCTAATATGTTTGCAGAGCATTTTAAAATAGAGTCGTTGCTAGGTCCATCGCAGCTGGTGCCCGGAGATGAGAGCTATCATGGCAGTCATGACTGCATTCGTTTTACACCTGAACAAGTGGCAACTGCCATTAAAAATATGACTAGGGGGAAATCTCCCGGCCATGATTCTCTCAGCATCGAGCACCTGCAGCATGCCGGACCTCACCTGCCTCGATTACTCGCTACTTTCTTCTCTTCATGTCTCTGTCATTCGTATCTGCCTCACGACCTTATGCGGACAATAGTTGTGCCTATAATTAAGAACAAAACAGGTGACGTGGGAGATAAGTGTAATTATCGACCTATATCTTTGGCAACAATTATGGCTAAAATACTTGACAGCCTGTTGGATACACAGCTGGAAAGTTATATTGAGTTGCACGATGCACAGTTTGGGTTTCGGTCTGAATTGTCTACTGAGAATGCTATCTTAGCCCTAAAGCACACAGTTGAATATTACACAAAGCGACGTACACCTGTATATGCATGCTTTTTAGATCTCTCCAGAGCTTTTGATCTCGTAAATTATGACTTATTATGGGATAAACTACGCCAGAAAAAGATTCCAGCTGAGCTTTTGAAGATTTTTCAGTACTGGTATAATAATCAGTATAATAATGTGAGATGGGCCGATAAGTTCTCTGAAAGGTACAGATTGCAATGTGGGGTCAGACAGGGAGGAATTACGTCACCAAAACTTTTCAACCTGTACATAAATGACCTAATCGTTGAACTCAGCAGCAAAATAGTCCGATGTCGTATCGACGATGTAAGTTTTAATAATATAAGCTACGCAGATGATATGGTGTTGCTGAGTCCCACGGTTAAGGCCACCAGAGAACTCCTTAAGATATGTGAGAAGTATGCGTTAAACCATGGCTTGCGATACAATTGTAATAAAAGCGAATTCATGGTGTTTAGGGCCGTCGGCTGTAAAAGCCCAGAAAATGTGCCTGCAATTAAATTGAATGGCATTGAATTAAAACGTGTTGTTAAATTTAAGTACCTAGGGCATTTTGTTACCGATGACCTAAATGACAATGTTGACATTGAAAGGGAACGTAGGGCGCTGGCAGTCCGATGTAATATGTTGGCTCGTAGGTTTGCGCGGTGTAGTGAACAAGTAAAGATAACGCTATTTAAAGCGTACTGTCAAGTTTTCTACACGTGCAGCCTGTGGTCGAATTATTCACAGCGGACTGTCGACACCTTACGTGTCCAGTACAATAATGGCTTCAGGATCTTGTTGGGGCTACCCCGATTTTGCAGTGCATCAGGCATGTTTGCAAAGGCGTGTACAGATGACTATTACGCCCTTATAAGAAAGAAAACAGCCTCGTTGCTTGGCAGGGTGCGGGCTAGCTCCAACTCCATCATGAAAATAATTGCTGAAAGATACGACTCATTCCTCCTTAAGCAATATTACCGCCTATGTTTAGTTAATAAGGCACTTGTATTTAAGAATTAGATTTAGGTACTAACATAGGTTATAAGTTTCATATTTACTAACAAATTTTATGGATCACTTGGTTATCTGAAATAAA